CCAAGACTAAGGTTGAGCCTCCATTCTTAAACGCTGATGAGAACAGCCCACCTGGACTAGAAAGAGGCCTTATGCCTTTTGAGATACCTTATTTCCCGAGATACCTCCATTTCAGATGGAGGACTAGCATCAACTGGGAGTATTTCTCCAGTCCAGGCGGAGAGCGAAAGATAAGATGTCAATGGGGGTCAGTTGAACTGAGCCTTGAAGTGTTCGGCCCAACGGTCGAGACGGCGTTGCTGATCGTGTGCCACGTGGATTCCTTAGTCACCTCACTCACGCCTATTTTCCTAGGGCCCGTATTCCTAATTAGATGGAAAAGGTTACGACTATTACCAATAGCCGCAGCTTTCTCCATCTCTTTACACTTTTCTACATACCACTTGTCGCGGTCATTCTTCAGACTCTTGATGAGCTGGCGTTTGAGGGAATCGCGTGCTGTGTCGTATGTGGCTGAGCTGAAACGCGATCAGAGATCTCCACTTTGAAAGCCGATTCGCTGATATACTATAGTGGGCATTCGTTGCCGGTGCCTCTTCCGTGGTTAATTACGTAGGGAGAATCTCGCTCCTAGCAGAACATGGCCAGTGTCCACGGGTGTTGACCAGTACGAGCGGTAGTCTTCAGTGGATTCTCGCCGGCGGTGGGTGATGGCGATGTGATCGATTTGAGCTCATCGGTGTTAAGAGGTTGGCGGTTTTCATGTAAGGTGGTGTCGTTTCTTGTGCGAGGAGTTGGTGCTTGACAGGAAATGTTCGTGGTCAGCACAGAGTCAGAGTTGGCGTTCTTCATCCATCTGGCTGGGATTGCATGAGTACCACCTATAGAAATTCAAGATACTAATAACACGAGCTGACTGAACTGCATTCGACAGAAGATTCACTTTTTAGGATATAACTATGAGTAACGAAAACACTCAGGTATATTTCGAGCGGTTCCTTTTTTCGAAAATTATTTTCCGTCCACTCTAAGACTTTAAACTGGACGCTGAATAGGTTATGCATACATGCACGCAATAAATTAAATTCAATAAATATATAACGTGAATTCAAACACTTTGGAGATCCCTGCACTTTTTAGCAACTACATTCGTTGCTCGCACAGTTGTCCTCGTCGTGTGAATACAAGCATCAGTGTGCGTATGTGTAGCGAAGAAACGGGTAGCAGTTGTGAAGACTGCCGTGCACAAAACTATGCCCTTCATCAGACATCTCGAGAGAAAGATGAAGGAAAATTGCCATACTTGGATTTCTTATTCACCCCCGACGGGATGCGGATCTTGTACCAATGAACCTGGAAATAAGCTGACCGGCGAGGCATTCGGTGTCTCCCAAACCGATCCGAGCGTGATGCTGATGTGATGTTAGGAAAGAAAACGGGTTCAACATTTACCCACTTGAATATTCTGGGGACATCGAAGAAACAAAAGTCTGTTCATCCAGAGGGTGCTACGGTCAAACCTATAAAACGTTGCACAAAAGTGACCACTCGAAAATGAGTGTGCGGTTCGAAATCCTTGAAAGTATTATTTGGGTTCCATGGGGAAAAGATGAATCAGCACTGGTTAGGTCTGAGGTACGATGACGGTCAGATCAGATCAGAGTCACTGCTGTTTATCGATCCGCAAGGTTTCAGATTAGAACCCTGTAAACAACAAACTAGGGTAGTGGACAACCGAGTTGCCATTCGGCTAAATGACACATTTATCCCACGTGAGTCACCAGTAAAAGTGTTTAGGATGCCCGCAATCACAATCAGATCTTCATAACTAAGGGTTCATCCCGCTGCTCACTACACAACCGTGCAAAATATAGGAAAAATTATTGTTACTCCGCATCACGTATTAAAACAGCTCTTAGGCAGTCAAAAAGTGTATTCCACGAGGCATGTATTCGATCTCCCCACAGGTGCAATTCACAGTAACGAACAGTGGTCGTAAGGTGAAAGTAAAAATGATGAACCGTATTCCTACTCTCTCAACTAGTAGAGGTCACATCCCGACGACCCCCAACGGCAATGAATCGCCTACTCGAAACGGTCCACTCTCAAATACGCCCTTGAAAACATCTTAGTTCAATTTCACACTCAAACTCACAATACACTTTCGTTTAGAATCTAAAATCCAAGGGCAAATCGTATACTATGCATTTGAGGTAGTTTAATGATTCCTTTACGATATCAAAATACTTTTTTCAGCTTAATGTATGTCACTATTATTCGTATTGTACTGTCGAGGACGTCATCACGACGCAAGCATAACAGATCGAATGAACCATGTAACTAAGACTTGAAAAAGATTGCCAAATAAAACCGAGAGAACGAATGCATGCCCTCATTCATAGATTCGAAGATTTACAAGTCCAGTCACCCCAAAATAATAACTCTGACCATACAGTGCGGTATTTTGTTACGTGGAATATAAGGAAAGGGTTTAGAAAAAAATATCTATTGGGACGGAAAGACTTAGAGGACCATATTCGTTAGCATAATAAAAGATAGTACTCCTGCATTTAGATCTTCCCTCTGGTAACGCGATCTGCTCCTTTTGACTACCCTATTGGGTAATGATCGGTAGAAAAAGTATATGGCTCATCATCGCGTTGCGCAGTTTTTTAAGGAACTCTGTATCATACAACTAACAAATTAATGGCTTTACAATTGAACATAGTTTCGTAGAGCAAGTACGGACAGTTACGCACGCAGTCTATTGTATCCGGGAGACTGGGATGCATCCACTGACTGAATCGAAAAAAAAGAAAATAAAACGAAACCTCGCACACTCGTACTTACTAGGTGGATTGAATGACAGAGCTCCAATAGGCACTCTATTACCAGCATTTCCACCGCGCTCGTAGGCTGAACTAATAGTATGACGCCCGGAATTCAATCCGCCCGATTCCAGCCCGAGCA